CTGCACCCTCTAACGAGTTCCGTTTAGAGGACCACAACGTTATCGGCAGCCGTCGCGACGGATGGAATTCGTTGCTACACCAAGACTGTCGACGGAGAAGTACGAGAGGCGCGGCATGGTAATACTGATGCTGAGGTAGCGAAAGCAATCCAAGGCCAAGACCTCGCTGCCGCGAAGCAAGATCAAGGATGGCTCCCAGGTAAGCATGGGCATTCAACGACAAGCGAGTTCACTCTCATTGGCGTCTTACAGGTCTTCTTCGCTTCCATTGCAGCCCAGACAGCAGCCTCTGCGCTTTGGCTGTACGTTCCAAGCTGTAATTCCTCTGTCTGCTGACCTCAGCCGCTGCACAGTGGGGACAAAGCCAACAAGCGATCTTCTATCAAGCCGAGGACTACACTTTGCGTCTCAAGCGGCGCGAGGCGGACGGTTGGGTGGATACCGATTTCTTGCAAAACGACGTTCTTCCCGGCAGTAATCTCGCGACTATGCATTCTGCGAAAGGCGATCGTGTTATGATCATTTTTCAAGACAAAGAGGGATATCTCTGCTATCGGTATGAGCGTTGTCGTTTGTTCATGTCTACACTCGTTCATATTGGCTTTAGTTGTGCTGACAACTGGAAATGGGACACGACCGCCACTCGCATATGTCAAGCTGTGAGTTGCACGGGCATTGGCGCTACGTCTTGGAACGGTTGGTCGCTCTTCGTCCTGTGTGACGTCTTTATCTAAAAGTTATGGCAGATCTCGTCGACGCCAGGGTGTACTACCAGGATGACAAGTATACCATACGTGAATACCTCGGTGGCTTCAGCAAGGAATGGTAAGCTCAGCTCGACCTGACTTGGGGCTGGTGGCGCGGTTGCTGATCAATATTAATGCAGGCGACCAGTTGGAGGTTTCGAGTTGCAGTACAAAACTCCCGTGGGCGACATCACTGCTATCTCCTGGCAGGATGGCGACGTCCACGTCAGGTACGCTACGCACTCTCAGAGTCTCACGGCTTGAAATTTACCGCATAGCATAGGCTATACCTGCAGGACGATGACGATAACATTATCGAGTGGATGAACGAAGGCAAGGGATGGAAGAAATCGTATGTTCTCCTTGTCCAAACATTGTCTTTGACACTTAATTTTTGTTTTTCGCCAGCAACAATTTCAAGGAAACGTCTCTTCCTGAAGCAGACATCACTGCCTTCGTGCGCAATGCCCACTCGGCTGCCGCCCGGAGCATCAACGTTTTGTGGACTGGGCAAGACCAGGTGCGCACCGTATCCACCCCTCACCTTTACATCGCTCACATCTTCACTAGATTCTCTACCAGCGTGTGCTCCCGCTGTCTCATGGCGCCTGGCTCGAGCCGGCCGCCATCGCGGACCTTTCGAACACCGGCACGAACGTCGGGCTCTGGGTCGGCAGCCACTTCTCGGACAACTGCCCGGGCGTCGACGCGAAGCGCATCACGAAGGTCGTCGTGCGCGCCGGCGCGGTGATCGACGGGCTGAAGCTCGAGTACGCCGACGCGGGCGCGACGGCTTGGCACGGCGGCCTCGGTGGCGAGCTGCAGGAGTTCGTTCTCGGCGAAGGCGAGGACATCACCCAGATTCAGGTCTCGTTTAACGAGAAGCACGTCCAGGGCCTGCAGTTTGTGACCTCGAAAGGTGCGCAGTGCCCGGTGCGCGATGCCCGGCTTCGGCGTGTGCTCATGTGTCTCCGTTCGGTTAGGCTCAGAATCGCCGTGGTTTGGCATGAAGAGCGCGGAGCCGACAGTCTGGGAGTACAGGGGCCATGCACTGGCGGGCTTCATGGGCACGAGCGACCAGTATGTGAACGGGTTGAAGGTACGTCGTGACTCGGGGTCGGGCTGCGTCATCTTGCCCATTGCTGACATTACCCGTTTTAGCCATTTTGGTCGACGCGCCTCCCGACACCGACCGACCTCACGCTCGACGAAACGATCAGGCTCGTCGAGCGTGTCGGCGTGGACGTCAAGGCGTCGCAGACGCGCATCGAAACCCTGCGCGCGCGTTCGAATAAGTACAGCAAGGACGTGCAGGAGGACCTCCGCGCCCCAGCGACGCAGGCCCTCGATGGCGTCGCGCAGTTCATCGCGGTGGTAGAGTACCTGCACGAGCTGACCGCGCTCGACAAGGCTGCGCGCGCTGCGGGGAGGCACGAGCTGGCGCATCGGACGATGGACATCAAGACGAATGTGCAGAGGTGCCAGGAGGAGGCCGTGGCTGTATCGGAACTGTTCAAAGCACTTTCTAGTAAAGCGGGAAAGCTCGTCCCTGAGGGAGAGAAGGTACATTCTGCTACCTCTGTGCAATGACGTCTGTGGTCTGATACAGGGTACTGCGCAGATCGACCAACAAACGGCGAAGGAGAAGGAGAACGCGAAATCCCGAGATCTCGCTTTACATCACGTTCAAGACGTGGCAGAGGCATTCCGACTTAAAGCGCAGAAGAAGCTGAAGGCATTAGAGTGAGTCGGTCGATGCTATGAACACATGCAGGTGCTCACCTTTAGTGCAATGTTTGTAGGACAAGTCGCGCACTTGCTGAGGAGAAACTTTGTGCTGCCGAACGTGAGAGCGAGAAGCAGTTCAAAGAGCTGGTTGCGAAGCAGTCGCGCAAGGTACGCAAACCTGTGCGTTCTCTACATGTGCGCCGTGCTGACCCAATTCTAGGAATTCTGGGACAAGGTAACCCTGGGCATCAACAACAAACTCGACCCATTCGGCATGAAGCAAGGCATCAACAAAACCGCCAAGCAGCTCGCGGACGCACAGAGCGCCGCCGCCATTGCCAGCGGAAACTACACCGCCGCGTCCGCGGCGATCGCGGCGGTAGATGCCGAGCTTCGGCGCATCGCGGAGCTTGCGTCGGCCGCGGACGCGCACCACGCGAGCCTCGACGGCGTCGTAGGCGCGATGGAAGGCCTCGTCGAGCAGAACCGCGCGCTGGCGCAGGCCGCGACGGACCTGCAGACACTCCTGGAGAAGATGCACACCGAGAGCGAGCAGCTGGACGATCAAAACACGGCGGAGACGTTCGCGAAGGCGATCCTCGAGATTGGACGGCTCGCGAGCAGCTCGCAGTTCCTTGGCACTGTCATGGGCGACAGGGCAGGCGAGTTCGAGGCGGCGGTTGCGAGAATTCTGGGATCGCCTGTGGATATTGATGCTGCCTCCTAGAGCCGGTCAGGCTTTATTTGTGCTATGCGTATTCATCTCTGTATTTGATGCCCTTCAGGTGCATAAAATGTCCACTATCTGATAGTCTGACATTAAGCAGCATAAAGGGCGGGATGATTCTCGGTGGCGCAGAACAACTTGGACGCCATGCGAACTTTTCGTGGCCGCTTGGGGAAAAACATGGAGAAAAACGCAAGAGAAATCGAATATCCAGGCATTTTCTATAATTTCATTCTGATATCATTGCATGAATCGCAAAGGAGATCAACGGCTGTGCAGTGTGTTACATTAGTCTATGAGCAGGAGCTGCATCCGCGCGTGCAGCGCTGCCTGCTTTATGTCTGCTACAAAGAAACGCCGCTTCCCAAGTCTTCCAAGGGACGGCATCCGTTGCCAGTGCTGGCAGCGCACTTCACCTGTACGGATGGGAGATGAGAGCGGTCTGGACGACCGGTCACTACCTTTCAGCTCCCCTCACCTATTTTAACTCACAAAACTGACATCAATGTACTATCCACTCCAGCCCGACAGGTTGCTTTTTAGATGACCAGTATCTCCACTCCGGTTCACCACGCGCTGTGCTGCGTTTCAGGCTACTTTGGCATCTTGAGATCTGTCGCCTTTCCTATCACGTTCATTTTCCCCTTCGATAATCGCCTGACGTCTGAGCCGCCGGCCGGGTGCTGCAGTCGCGTCCCAGAACGCAGGCCTCGTTGTTTCACCCTCGAGCGCCAGCTTTTAGGCACTGTTCTACCGGGTGCGACATTCAACGAAGCTATGCTCACATCACTCGGGATTGTCCAGCGTTCTGAGATATCCTGTACACGCTCTATATTATGATATAACGAGGGGGCATACATCACCAGATAGGCGATGCACGACTAGATACATGAGACAGATACACAAGGAAACATGTGCATGTGGTTAGTACAACAGCTGTGTTTGGGTATAGAATCAGTACGCAATGAGGGGGTATACTTCTAGTGTAGTAAACGTAGGCCTAGAGATTCCACTGTCCCGATATACAAACATGACCGGCACGAAAGGAATCACAAAACGAGCGTGGTACGCGTTAGAGATACGAGTGTGAAGAGCAATATAAGATGTCAACTTCGAAACGCGCGCAGAACGAAAAAAAAAATGGCGCGCAACAAGACAAGCGAGACTGGTAGCACCATAAAGCAGCATTATAAAGCGGTTGGAAGAAGAGCGACGATCGAGCTTGGAACGTGCAGTGGCGGCGGACACGACCGAGGTACGCGCCGCAGCATCGTGCGTTATGGTCACAAGAAGTCAGGAGCCCCGTCCAAAAGACCAGGCCCGCCCTGGTAGGTCATAATGTCGCCGAGCGGTCCGAGTGCCAGCCCCAGCGGGTCCAGCTCGGGGAGGCTCTCGAACGGCATCTGCTGCATCATATGTTGCGCGTCCCCCAGTGCGTGCGTGAACAGCACGTCCTGCGGGGCGTACCGCTGTGCGTTCATCGGGTACTCGTTGCAGGGCCGGTACTGGGGCGCGACCTCTGCGGCCATCGCGTTTGTGCCTGCCGCGTAACTGGACTCCAGGAGAGGGCATGCAGGCCATGTTCCTCCCGCGTCGAGGCCGGAAACGAGGTTGGCGTCGAAGCCGGGGTTAGGGTGTGCGTTGAAGGGATAGTTGGAAGCGTGAGTGGCAGCGAACGCGACGTTCGTGCTGAAGTCATGAGCGTGGTTCGCGCTGACGTTCGAAGAAAAAGTCGTGTAGTTGGGGGTGGCAGAAGCATTAAAGTCGTGGTAGGAACCGGTGTTGCAAGCGAGGTTGCGGTAAGTGTAGTAGCTGGCACTGGCGTCGGCGTCGAAGGGGAAATCGGGATAGGGCTCCTGAAAGGTTTCGGGGTTCGAATTGGGCAGAATCTCGGGACTGGGAGGTGTGACCTTCACGGTAGGTAGGGCGTCAATAGCGGCGGTACAGTCGGCGACGGGCATCGGGTAGCCCACGCGCGGCGCGGAAGGAATATAATATCGTGCGTACCGAGTACCACACGTTGACCGCTTCTGGCGAACGAGTTGGCCATGCGACATGGTCAACGGGACAGAGACTGAGGGTACCCCGATGTATTGCGGCAGCGACGTGAAAGTAGTGGCGTTCGAGTTTGGGACGCTCGTGGACGAAAAGCGAGCGGAGACTTGCCGAGCATGAGGTTGTAACGATAGCGATCTCTGCTCAAACTGCTGGAATTGTTGGTGTACGGCCGCTGGGCCGTCGTGGACGGTCGCCACCGCGAAACCGCCATATTGCAAAGGAGCATGCGCAGGAGCGTGTACGGGGGCAAAGCGGGGCTCAGTCACGTGGTATGGGTACGCTTCGAAAGCGACAGTCTCCTCCTCTAAGGCGGCGTTTGAGACGCCTGGGGGAGTGCTCTGCATCGGGGCGAGGTTATGTGTGATAGGAAACGGAGAACCCTCTAGGGTCCAGTCGCTTGAGGCTGGTGTGTCGGGTCCCGGTGATGGTGGAAAGCTCGATGCATCTGAGAGCGCCGGTGTCTCTTCAAACGAGAACGTAGATGCAGGCGACCCAGGGGCAGAGACGTATCCTTGTTTCGCCTTGGTGGCCTTGAGGGTCATGTACAAGTCGCTATGCTTTCTGCGGTGCTTGCTGAGGTGCGAAGGATCAGGGGAGCTGAAAGTACACGGTTCTGGGGCCTCCGTTGGAAGGCTTCCTGGCTCTGCCTTCGTATGAGAGCACTTGTGAGGTCGCAGCTCGAAGTGCCGATTGAAATGTGTGTCCATTGCGATATGTTGCTTCATCGGCCCCGAATCGCATCCCTGAGACTTGTATGGACAGTAATGAAAGCTGTTGGGGCCCAGCGTGCGTTCATATGAAGAAATAGGGGCGAGGCAGATAAACACTCACCCTCCAACAATTATATCCTTCTCGTGAGCTTTGAACAGATGCTCCTTTAACTCAAACCCGTCCGACAACTTCAACCCCTGCTCCTCCGAGTAGTTGCAGGCGCCGTATGGGCAGCTCACAGGCGATTTCTCCGTCTGCGACGCCGGCCATCATCCAGGTTAGATCGTGAGTGTCGCGGGACAAACGCCTCACTTGCCTGGAAACGCGGCACAACATTGGCAGCCTTCGCCTTCACATGATTCACGGGGGCGCATCGGGGCATGCAGAGGGTGGGAAGCGAAGGGCGGGGAGGTTCAAAGAGGGGGATATGCGCCACGCGTTGGGGTTGTTGTGGGTTCAGATAAGCTTACCCCTCTGGCGCTCACGTTATATCGATAGGTCCTGGGAAAACGCCTTTTGTACCAGCACAGGATAAAGAGCCAGCAGATGTTTGCATCTGTGGGTCCCATAGGCGCACGGGAGCAGGTGCCGGAGTCGGGGGTACCAGCTACCTACAGTACCCTTAGAAAAAGCGGTATAGGTGCAAAATATAGAAACACACTCACTGCAATGATCCTGCACCCGCTATAACTCAAGGGCGAACACATGATACTTGGCGTATGCCGTGGGAATATCATGTCCAACTGAAGTAGAGGACTAAGCCCTAGCGTACAAGCTTATAGGAGGTCATTCCGAATTTCAGCGGAAGTACCATTCTAGTTAAGGACACACCGTAACTTTTGCGAATATTCCTTAGTATCGCATGAACCGCGACAGCTCACAGGTTGCGTAGGGCAAGCTTGGAAGTGGAAACATCAGCGCGATTGAACTGGGGCAGTTTGAGCGAATTTATACACTGGCACTGACCTCAAGTACCTGAAAACCACAGCGCGGGAACTGGCTGCTGAGAGAGACTAAAGAGAGAATCGCCAGGGCCGCAAGGCCTCGAGCGTGAATATCACGTGATCGACGCAGAGTTCAACGTTCAGCGCTCTCAGCGCTCAGCGCCGGTTTCAGGTGTCGTTCCGGACCAATGCTTTACCATGTTGGTGCCTTTGCGAGACCACACAAAACAGCTGCGAGGGGGGGAAAATGTCACACGTGTCTGACCTATGCCTATGGACATACTCGAAGCCACTTGAATCGCCCTGGATGTGGTGTTATGAAGGTTACCTTGGTGGAGGCCTTCAAGCTATGACCGGAGACGCGTGGCGATAAATTAAAGGAGAACGTTTCACAGGTCAGGCCTTCAGGCTCCTACCCACGCCGTCTTTCCGGTCGTCCTATTCTGCGATGAGGCATACTGTGAGAAATACCTTCCATTTGTGTGATCACCACTCATTTCGGGCCTGAAATGGAATAACACAGGACAACGCTTGCGATCGGCCAATTAAATAATGTCCCAAGTTCCTCTGCAAGACTTGGGCACAGACCTCTGCTCGGGACGGCGTGGGTAGGAGCCTGTCGCTGAAGCGCTGATTACGGTTTCTGGGAATCGCAATTTGGCATGTGGCGACATACCACACATAGCACACCGGTCACACTTCCTCGCGGCCCGAGGAGAAGCAGTCATATCTGTGTCAGAACATGAAACAGATATCCGTGCGTAACGCATAGTCCAGCTGATAGTCGAGGCATTCGCTATTTAGCTGGTCTCCCCCACCTCGAGCTCAGCTGCTTCACTCATCACTCTGAACCCATAGTCGCTCCAGTCGAGCCAGGTTCTCTTGTCCTAGTCACTGGTGTTAACGGCTACATCGCCAGCACCGTTGCTCTGCTCCTCCTCGAGAAAGGGTACAAAGTCAGGGGGACGGTTCGCTCCCTCACGCGTGGTGCATACGTTCAGAACGAGTTTAAAAAATTTGGAGACAACTTTGAACTCGTCGAAGTCCCTGATGTTGCTGCGCCTGCTGCGTTCAAGGAGGCAATGAACGGTAAGTGCTCAGTCATTCAGTACAGCACGGCTCACTCACTGTGTTCGTCAGGCGTCGACGCTGCCATCCATACTTCTGCTCCTGTTACGTTTGATGCGAAAAAACCAGAAGAACAAGTGCGTATATATTCAACCCTACTCAGTATCGGACTAATTACGCGCACAGTACGTGCCGTCCATTGGTGGCACCATGAACATCATGCGCAGCGCTCATGAGACGCCTAGCGTGAAGCGAGTCATGTACTTAGGCTCTTTGGGCTCCGCGGTCATGACTGGCATAGATGCCAGCAAGGAGGTCTTCACTCGCGAGCGCTGGAACATCATGACGCAGGAAGCGGTCAAGAACCTTGACGACCCAGCCATTGGCTTCCACATCTATCTTGGTGCTAAGCTCGAGGCAGAGATAGCAGCTTGGAAGTACATGGAGAGCAACAAGGCAAGTTGTTTTCAGGCTGCCTAAAGCAACTCAGCTTACAAGTGTCATTAAGCCTCAATACGCCTTCACCACTTTCTTGGGTGCAATCGTCATTGGCGGCCCAATCCTCAGAGAATTCACCAGTCCGCCCCGTCAAGATCAGGGCTTGGGGCAGCTTTACGATGTATTAGCGAACCCTCCTCGCGTCGATGGAATTAGCCCTGTTAAGAGCGGTGAGTCAGCACATGCGATCGAGATGGTGTTCGTGCCTGACCTTCTACCGGAAGTCGTCTGGATCCACGTATATGACTTCGCGGAACTCTTCGTGGCGTCTCTGACCTCGGACAAGGCTGTCGGCAAACGTCTCCTCGGCGTTGCTGGCAGGATGTCCTGGGCTGGGGATGCCGAGATTATTCGCAAGGAGTTCCCTTCCCGCCCCTTCCCGCCTGTCAAGGCAGACGCCCCAACCCTGACCTACCCCGGCTCCGACGTGGCCGAATTCGACACGGAACTAGAGAAGGAGCTTTTGGGTCACGACTGGCGCCCCCTGGAGGAAGCGGTTTTGAGCACTGCCCGCGATCTCATTGCGAAGGAGTCCAAGGGCTGGGATAAGCCCGCAGCTTGATCGTGTTATTGTGATGTTCTATTTTCGTGGAAACGAGGTGTACATACACTTTTGATGTGCTGGAGAATCAATGCTTGACACGGGTGTAAATGGAGAAGGGAGAACTGCGGGGAGCCTTTCTTCCGACATGAGTAAGCCCCGAGCTTTGAAGGTAGAAAATAATGCGTGGATAATTAATATAGCCATTACAGTGCTTCCGATGCACGACTAGAACTGGGCAGCTCCTAGATTGGTAATAGAGAAACTCAATTTTGAATCCTGCGAGGGTTCGCGAGGGCTTGCGAGCACACAGCAGGAGGATAATTGTTCGGATCGTACCAATTGATGTGTAGCAAGGAGTTGTACTAATCTAGGGTTCATATTTTGTAGAGAACCCTTAGCGTAGGGTTACGGACGCACTTTGTTGAACGCGTCGTGTTATTGCTTCAAAATCGTTCAGAAAATATCGAAGATGGAGCCGTGAGCATGGCAAATGCCAAGCCAGGTCCAGCAGCCACGTCAGAGCTATAGTAACGAAGTAGGAGTGCGAACACGGCACAAGAAGTACACGGCCGCGATTCGACGAGTAGAGTCTCACGCCGACTCGGCACGTTTAAGAGATATATTTTGCACTCCTTTCTGACTGGGCGAGCACGATCCTAAATCAAGTTTCTCTAATGTATTATGTCGCCTATAATAGTTGCGCTAGACAGGAGAATATGCAAGCTTAAGCCGACTGTGACATGGCGGTACTCACGAAATCATGTCCAATGTGCAGCTTTTGGGATCGATAGGCAGGCATTTCCGCGCGTATGGTGCTCGCCGCCAGCGGTAGATGCCTACAGTATCCTCGTATTCCCAGTCCATATCGTCTTGAAACTAAGGTAGTGACTACTGACCGGAACATTTTTGCCTGCGGCGAAACATGTCAGACGGCATCACCAAGCAAGTAGACTGCGAGGCAACGCGCCTTTCGAAGCCAAAACCTCAGGCCTCAGTGCCCATCTCGCATGAACTTGCCGGAGTTGAACGCGTTCGGATCCGAGTAGGCTCGTCCCCATGCCGGTTTCGGCCCTGAAGGTCTGAAGCTTGAAGGCCTGACGCTTAGTCTCCCTAGGCAGGCCTGATCTGATCAGTCGAGGATAATCGATCGAATTTGATAGTCCTGACGCTCGCAAGCTCGCGTCGAATCTATGAAGGTCGAAGGCGAACAAAAATAAATATCTTTTGTTCGCGGTGCCAGATCTCGTTTTTGCAGTGATCTGTGGCCTACTTCATTGATATACCTAATTTATTCCAGTGGCAGTGAATCTACGTCCATATACACTCACCGTTGTGCACAATACTGCAAATAAGTGCACAAAAGTACACTCACGCCGCATTTCGTTGGCAACAAAACTCGCTCTCGCACGGCTGGGAGCTTGTTTTCGTAAGGCGCTTATCATAGATTTTCCCATCTGAGCGATCGCTATATCTAAATACGGAAAATCTGTGATGAATACTAATGCGCAAATGTGCACGTAATGTCGTACCTAGAGAAGCCAACACTCTCATACCTTCAAGTTTTGTCTGTGTAGGTGTACAAATGTGAACAAATGTGTA